CAATTGACAGTTTTATCCTTAACAAAATTGTATATTTCCTTCCTCAAAAAGGCTGAACTCCCAACTAAAGAAAACTGGATGTAGGTATTACCTGCATTTGACAGTAGTAGAACCCTGACACTTTTGCCGCCATCTTGGATTTTATTCGCGGGGTCAATCAAGGTCAATTAAATTGATTCGCGGGTTCGCCCCCGTGGGCGGGGGTGTTTTCGGGGGAAATTTGCTTAATTTCTTGGAATTTGGGTTTAATTAATAAAAATTTTGTAGGATTTTGGTCTTTATTGGCATTTGATTTGATTGATGACGTCATCAATTAAATTGATTAGTGTGGATTAATTTAATTTGTGGTTTGATTGATCTAATTAATTTAATTCGCGTGTTGATTTCCCGGAATTTCTGTTTAATTAATTTGATTCGCGGTTTGATTAATTTGATTCGCGGCTTAATCAATTTAATTAGCGGTTTTGATTTCTCGGAATTTCCTCTAATTCATTTGATTCGCGGCTTATTTAATTTAATCCGCGGTCCGATTAATTTAATTCGCGGTTTGATTGATCTAATTAATTTATCGATTAATTTAAATTGATCGTATAATCAAGAATAATTACACATATGTGTATTTACACACAGGTAACTCTAATTGAAAACAAAATGGCGGAAAAATAAAATGGCCGCCAAAGGCGGGAAATTTGAAATTTTTTCTATCTTTCTCTCTTACTCACTGCGTCTATCTCTCTCTCTTACTCATTGCGTCCCTCTTTTACCTATTCTGAAATAGAAGTTAGAAAATGAACAAGTTTTAATTATGTTTATTATGGTGCAACAATTAACAAAAAAAACATTACAATCAAAAATTAAGTGCAAATTACAATTTAAAATATACAATACAAACCCGTTTCCACACCACCCTGGAGGTAGAGTTGAGGCGCGTTTTTTTTAACGTGGTGTTCCCCTGTAGGCCTAATCCACGGAACGTATTTACAAACTTAAAAAACTAAATATTTACACTAATTATTTACAAAACTAATCTAATATTTACAAAGTACCCAAAAAATTACGTTTTATACCCGTATGGCAGTGTGTCATACCCCTGCTCTAAACGACGCCGCTTCGTGTACTCGACGCGGTACCTTTTCTTCTCCGGTCTGGAGATGACATCAAAGGCACACGTGCGAGCTATGCGACGGTCCGTTTCCACATAGGTCTCTGGGGCATTGTTCAATACACTGTCTTTAATAGAGTCAAAGTTCACCACGGCACTGTTTTTATAGTTTAGGGAGATGCCCTTAACTTTACATACGACACTATACTTGTTCGCACTGGGGGAAAACACTTTAAACGCATAGTTTTTGGGACCGCCACTTACGAATTCCACAATACGGCTCTCTGGACCATAGCACTCAATTTCATCCGTCATGTCGCCTAAGAAGTTTCCGCAAGGTGGCGACCATTCTCCCGGCTTCTCAGTGAAGATGACCGAGTCTGTATCGAAATACAAGACCCGATCACCCAGCTGCTCGAGGTAGCTGTACAGCTTAAGGCGGGCATGGGCGGTTGTATAAGCTGCCAACACCACATTGGTGGTCTTCAGGGGCTCGACTGCTTCCTCCGGGAGAGTCCAGTTGACGATTAGGGTCTCGTCGTTCACGGGAATGATCGAGTTGAGTTCCACGGCCGGGTCAGTGAGCATTTGGAAGAACTTCTCAGCTTCCGAGACAATGGCAGTCTTTGAGAGATTGTCCCGCTGACCAAACTTTCCCCAAAAAGAATTGAGGAACAATTTGGCGATATAGCGAAGACCTGCGTTCACTTGAATCTTGGTCCGGTCAAGTTGAACCCCTTCGTGTTCGAGGTACTCTGCCAGGTAGCGCATACACGCCTCATCGTCAACACACCAGGCTGGCCATCCACTACACTCCTGCTTGGTCTTCAGAAAATTGTCGACGTAGCCGCTGAATAAACCGCCGCTTTTTGCGGCACGGTCGTATTGGGTGGTCTCATACTCCCACACTTCTTGAAGGTCGGCAATAACGTATCCCAATGAAATGGCCTTCCGTAGCTCGTCGGCCACGTATGTCCCACCGAATTGCCGCTCCTCTTCAGGGTGCTCACATTCCCCTTGCTGCATTGTTTCGCAACATGTACGACACAGGGGAAACATCAGTTTGCCGTGGCACCTGTACGGAAGCACGGGATGGTAAAGATCTTGGGGCGGAAGAATTGTGCACTTAACCATGCCTTCTACAGTGTTTAGGTTGACGGTCCGTAGTTCTTCAGGCGTTATAAGTACACGGGGATGGCCCAGAGGGTACTTTCCATACTTGTTCACGTAGGGGTAGAGGGAGCACACGTCCAAGTATCTTATTTCGCCCCCCTTTTCGGCCTTGTGGTACAGCTTGACGGCATTTGTTCGGCCGCCAAAAAAACCATCACGAGGATTTAGGGGCTCATGCCTTAAAACATTATTTCCATTTAGCCGGTTAGCGACCTCAGGATTATTAGTGAGATATGATTTGAAGTTGCACTCCCACATTTCAATCAAATTGTATCCCGCAGAGTTTATTCGGCTGGAAATAGCTTCGGTCTTCTCACGCCGTGTGCTCATTGTGTCAGTTCTGTTGCCCTTTAGTGGCGTCGTCTGGTCCGGGAAGCATGTCTCACAGCCGTGAAAATAGCAGCCGTGGAACTGGTACACGGTGTTGGTGCTAGACGAATAACCGTCGACCAAAATTCCTTCAGGTAAACGCACCTCTCGAGTGTTCCCGGCATGTTGAAGGTCGGGGACCTCGGTGGATTGCAGATGAAGAAGCCATTTGATGGCGACTCCACTTTGGTTGTCAGCCATCCTGTACCCGCCATGTGGGATGAGCCCAATCGTATCCTCTTGAAGGAAGTTTCGGCGAAACACCAGGCTGCACGCAGAGGCAATAGTGCAGCACTCACGGAATGGGTCCACCTTATTCTCTTCCACAAACTTGCTCCAAAACTCCACGCACGCCTGGCGCAAGATATTGACGTCTTGGACACAGTACTGCACAATTTGCGATTGGAAATCGAAAACTGCTCCGCGCGACACTTCGGTGTTGTACCATTTTAAGAAATCCTCGCGATTTTTAGCAGACATTTCTTCGGCACCGTAGAAATGTGGAGCGGGTAAAGGTCCGATGTAATTAGCATTTTCCAAAGTATTAAAAAAGTGTGGAAAGTAGCCTTTACAACCAGGGAAACTGAACGTTTTCGGCAGCGCACTTAACGGGACGGGCATAAAGTTCAAACTGTCGATAAATCGCACGTTATTATTACACGTCAATGATGTAATTTTTGTGCCCGTGGCGATGATGTCAGGATTCCATGCTGAAGGAGTTTTCATCATTTCCTTCAAAATGAAGATGCTATCATACCCTTTGCTGTTGTGAGCAATAGCCACGACGTCACGACTTTTCCTGGCTAACGAGGACACGAGACTTAAAAGTTCATTAACGGGGTCTTGTTTAAATATGTGTTGTCGAGGACCACATTTATCACAAGGGATATTAATGTTTGTATTGGTTGTGATGCATGACTTACACAGTTGTTGCGCGACACATAAGTTGGGCACATGGACGTAAGTGTCAACACGATTTTCAAACTGCTCGTCCTGACGGCACTCAAAGTCATAGAAAACAAACACAAAGTCTTTGCTTAATTTCTTTTGGTCTGGGGTATTCTTTGCCATGTAGCACAGATGACGTATTGGCCGATCAGCTTGGCATGTGACACATTTCTTGAAACCGCACTTGTGAGCCTTCTTCGACTTCCATACCGTAGCTAAACACGTCCGACATCGACGTACTTGCAAGCATAAATTCTGGTCTTTATGATAGCGATAGCACTCCTGTCCCCGGAAATCGCGATTACACTCCGCGCACTTAATGTTCACAACATCCTTGTTGCACGGGGGATTGTTGTGACAACAGGGACAAATGTACTTACAGTTTTTGTGAGCCTTACGTTCACTCATGCGTACACGACACGACTCACAAAAGTAGCCACAACTAAACGCGGACGTTAGGCTTGTAATCACATTGTAATGTTCATTCTCCATGAGGAGGTTTAGCACTTGACGCTGAGGGGATCGTAGACCTTCAAAATACACCGTTTTGCCCATCCGATGATTGTAGACAACGATCGTATAGTCCGTGAGGTGGTCTTGAAACTGGCGTATGTGTTCAATGGTCCCTCCGTTACTCAAATCTACGCCTGCCGCAGCACACAATTCAACAGCTTTTTCTGCCTGAAGAGCATGGCCAACTTTCAGGTAGGGCAGATCTATAGAGTTGGTACGGAAAGCTATGGCGGTGACCAGCGCACGAGCGAGGCACAGAGTATCATTGTTGTTAATGAGAATGATACCGTGTTTTCGCTGCGAGAACTCCTCAAAAGTAACACCCGTCATGCGTTGCCGCCCCTTGCCATTAGGGAGGGTAATTAGACTCACGTCAACCCGTAGTGCATCGCTGGAGAAGAACGCCTTATTACTTTGCATAACCTTGTCCATGGTCTTCAGCATGACGTTAGCATTCAGTTGGTCGATACGGCGGAATGAAAATCCAAGAGGGTTGTCAGGAAACTCGCTATTTGTCAGCATTAATCCAATGCGATCACTCACACTACGCCTCTTAGTTATATAATTAATAAGCGCAGTCAGTGATTTCTGTAACAGAAATACACAGAATGAAGTTTAGTTTAATAAAAATAGATTTGTATGCATACCTTAAGCCATTCTAGAGGTGCTTCATTGGGCTCCGCATCATCAAACTTGATAGTTAACTGTTGGGCTGTCAAGTTGAATTTCTTTATTACCCGCTCTCCCTCTGACAACACTAAGAAACGTCGAGGTACTCCACGGCCAACTTGGGGTGATAATTGGTGTAGACCCGAAGTAGAGGGTTCGGAGTTCAGCTGCAAAGAAGTTAATTAAATTCCTTGTTTAGAATAATTAAAGCAAAACTTACATTATTTACACAGGGCACTATAGGTGCGGTTGGTTGTAGTCTCGATGTTGATGGTTGAGGGTTAAGAATCTGTAAAGACGTTATCATTTAGAACTTGCGCACTTGAAAATTATTATTATTATTCAACTTACATTATTTACACACGGAGCAGCATGCTTTCGCTTAGGCTTTGCGCCGGAAGTTGAAGGTTGCGGTGGATGCTGTAAGGAAATGTACAATTAACATATGAAGCAACTTTTAAAATTAAAGTAAACTTACTTTCACACAGAGATCGAGGGGTTGCGATTGGGGTTTGTAGTCGCCAGGGGCAGATGGCAACGGTGGATGCTGTAATGAAATTTACAATTAAAGTATCAACAAGTTTCCAAAAAAAAATAAAATGAACTTACTTTTACAGTGAGATCAAGGGGCTGAGATTGCTCTCCTTGAAGCTGACGGCTAGTGGACGGCGAAACTTCATTCTGTACAAATAAACAACATTTAGAAAACGAAACTTTAAAAATTAAATAAACTTACTTTCACACAGAGGTCGAGGGGCTGCGACTGCGGATTGTTTGCTATAGCAGCAACGTGATGGGAATTCTACAAAGAAATTTATATTTAGAAATTTATAAGTGTACAAATATTAAAAACTTACCACATTTTGTTGAAGCAGGCGCGTTTGAATGGTACCCACTACATCACGAAGACGCCTGAAGTGCACAATGTCTTCTTCTTCAGGAATCACTTAACCGGAAGTTATCATATTGTGTAGCTGCTCACACACCTTAACCATGGCATCCTCGGAAAGGCCATTGCACAAGTTTAAATACACACACAAAGCACAAACACAAAGATCACGTAAAACTCGAGAAAATACGCACGTACAAATGTAAGAACGCAAGTAATTCCGAGTCCCCGAAAATAAGATCTTTATATCAGAGCAGGTAAAATAGAATCCGATCCCTTCCGAACATTACCGAACGCTCTATTGTTCTCCTAAAACCGGTTTTCCGCTTGATTAAACACGATCTATTGTTTAAAATGCATGACTCATAACTCGCTAAACCTGTTTTCCGCGTGAATAGCCACATCTTTTGTGCTTGTGGCCGTCTTTATGGCGCCACGTCAATAATTTCTTTTGTTTCTACTTCCGGTTACATGGAAAGGCACTTAGTTCACGCTGGGCGGATAAGTGCTTTCTTTTTGTTCAGGACACCTGCACAAGTATGACTCATAACTCGCTAAACCTGTTTGCCGCATGAATAACCACATCTTTTGTATTTGTGGTCGTCTTGATGGCACCACGTCAATCATTTTCTTTTATTCTCGTTATGACTCATCGTCACCTGCACAACTATGACTCAGTTTTTTAATTTAATTCGCGATTATAGTGACGTATTAGATTTACAGTTACGCGGTGTTTATAAAGCTGATGAGGGTTGCAACTCGTTCTCATTTGTGTTCAGTTCAGTGTTCAACGTGATATTGTGTCAGTGTACTAGTTCAAAGTTACAAGTAAGTTCAATCGCCTCTGTTTTTTTATATAATTGATTATTAAATAGTCGCAATTGTTTTCTAATTGGTAATTAAATTGTTGCAATTGTTTTCTAATTTTACATTTCGTTAGAGATTATGTTTTCGTACAGCAAACCTTATTCTCGTCCATCAACAAACCCCAGAGATCCTCGTACTGCTGAAAAGTTGTCGACGACACTCAATTACTACAAGCCTATTGCATCATCGCCAGAATTCTGCTACACAGAGGATGATCACCGAGCATTCGACAGGGAAGTTATGAAGGAATACAACATCTCATCTTACAATAATCCAGTGCCCAGACACGAAGATTTTTGTTTATCAACACAAGACCGTAAGCGCATACATAACAAGTTTATGGATAAAGAACGACAGCAATTACTCAGTGAGTCGACATTAAATCTAAATAATAGTGGATCCAAAATCCTGAAAGTGGGTCTAGACGTATTTGAAGATTGCCCCTGTGTCAAGATACAAGGCAAGGATCGGAGCATATATTTTTCAAAGAGTGCCTTCGAGAGTTTTTTAAGCGAATTAGAAGACATCGTCGGAGCAGTAAAGCGCGAGGAAGAAGATGAAACTTTCGATCTAGAAGATTTTCATGTACGGTGCTGCAGAAAATATAAAGCTGCGCGTATCATTTCGAAGAAAGAAATCCACTGTGAACTGTACTTGGGACTCGTCACCCTGGAAAAAGTGATCGCTATGGCAGACTACTTACGTCAGAAGCTTAATTATTTGGGTAATTATTTGGAAGGTAATGATTGTCCTTTCAAAAACTTTGTAGAAAAAGTTGTGGACATTCTGGATAGACGTCAGCAAAAAGATGTGAGTTATAACGATTTGCTAACAAATTTAACTACTGAACCTTTAGTTATACATGAGTTAGTCCATAAGTATCCGTATTTTGTGATTGATAAGATAGAGGATTATATGCAAACTTTTGATGATAGGTTCTTGTACAAATAAATGTAAATAAATATAAATGTAAGTTCTACATTCTTTTAATCAGTTTGGTGTTATACTTCGAGACATTACAATGGAAAATAAATTTCTTCATCCATTTTCCGCTCTTGTAAGTGGCCCAAGCGGGTCGGGAAAGAGTTATTTTATTGTAAACTTTCTAAAAAATATAACAAACATCTGCTCTGTACTGTTTGAAAAAATAGTTTGGCATTACGGGGAATGGCAGTCATTGTACGAAGATCTAAAAGGTGTTGAATTCCATCAAGGCTTACCCGATATGTCCAGTTTCGATGGCTTAAAACCTGTACTGATAATTATTGATGATTTAATGCGTGAATCAAATGGAGCTATTGTTGACATTTTTTACAAAAGGATGTCATCATCGTAACCTCAGTGTTTTCTTTCTAACCCAAAACATATTTCATCAAGGAAAAGGACAGAGAGATATATCTTTAAATGCACACTACATTATTTTATTCAAAAATCCCCGAGATCGGGCACAAATAAAGCATTTAACGCGGCAAATTTGCCCTGAAAACTCCAAATTTTTAGAAGAAGCGTATAATGATGCAACGTCTAAACCCCACGGATATCTGTTATTCGATTTAAAACAAAGTACACCGGATGTTTTCCGCTATAGAACATCGATATTCGAAGAAGATGGCGCCTGTGTGGTATATATACCGAAAAAGGGTATTAAAGGTTTGAATCTTGATCAATTGGTGCATTCATAATGACATCAAAGCTGACGAAACATTCCGAGTTGCTGCGTGCTCTCTCAAATTTGGGATCAAAGGAGCGGTTGGCGTTGATAAAATGTTTGGACGATAATCAAATTGCTTGCATATGTGAGTGTATTTACAACACTTTAAAAGGACAAGTCGATTTGACCGCTGATCAGAAGCGAAGTCTCGCTCGTCATAAAACCATCTTACGGCGTATGGTAACGCCCCGTGAAAAGATAAAAAAGAAGAAACAGATACTAATTCAAAACGGAGGTGCATTCTTGCCATTTGTGCTAGGGCCGTTACTTGGCGGCTTACTCGGAAGTCTTTTTCAATAATCATGGAACACGCAAAGAAAATGTTACTCGTACCGCAGGAATTTATGCAGCGAATTAAAGCAAATGAAACTAGGAAAGACGATGTTTTATCGCAAATTGATGACGAAATGTCACAAGTATTAAATTCTAAGTTGTCTTCATATGAAAAGTGGCAACAGTATTCTCAAGTTTTACAGAAATATTTACATTTTTCGGAACAAATGCGAAAACCTGTAAGCATAGCAATTGAATCGAAGCCTACAGGAATATCAGAAGATGAAATAATAGCCTCAATTCCACAAACTTTTAAGAAAAAAGCCGAAAGTTTTCTACGAATACTCAACGCTTCGGGTGATATTTTATGGGACAATAGAGGAATTGTCACAATAAAAGGCGAAGTAATCCCGTCATCGAATATTATTGACTTAATACACGACACAGTAAGACCGCGCCAATCAACGAATCCAGAGGGCGGTTTGAAGTTTGCAGAATTCGTCAAAGAAATTAATGTTCCTCAAGAATTTATTGGTAGAAGACAAAGTGTTGTAAAATCCGAAGACATTATTTCGAAACGACCAAAAATTACCGTGAATCCCGATCAAGACGTTGCTGCGAAACGAACGAGAAGTGCACTTAAGCAACCGGATACGAGGAAGCGTTCCAAAAGTTCTGGTGGGCTACAGCGAGGTGGATGGAACACCGAAAACCCAAAAATTTCTAAACGATTGCATATTCCCGGATGGAAAACCTTTAAACTTTAAGTAGATGGAAAGCATATATTATGATCCTTCACATCCTGCCGGATTCGGTGGAGTTTCCTCCTTGTCTTCAGCGTTAAAAAATAGATATTCAACTGAGGATGTAAAAGCATGGTTACAAAAACAAGAAGCATATACTGTGCACAAGCCCGTTAAAAGAAAATTTCAACGCAACAAATACATAGTTAACAACATGTTTGAATTATGGCAAGCCGATCTTTGTGATATGAGAAGCCTAGCGAAAAACAACAGAGGCTATAATTACATATTAACGGTCATTGACGTATTCAGTAAGAAAGCATGGGCAAGACCTCTCAAGCAAAAAACCGCAAATTCTATAATTGAGGCGTTTTCGTCCATTTTTGAAGAATGTGACAATACACCTGAAAATATACAAACTGATAAAGGAAAAGAGTTTGTGGCAGCAAGCGTACAACAATTTTTTAAAAAATACAATATAAATTATTATGTAACCCATAATCCCGACGTAAAAGCTTGCATAATCGAACGGCTGAATCGCACATTAAAGACGAAAATGCACCGCTACTTTACATATAAGAACACATTCAAATACGTGGACGTTCTACAAGATTTGGTGTCTGCATATAACAAATCCTATCATTCTTCGATCAAGATGGCGCCTGATGATGTGAACGAAGAAAACATTTTGAAAGTTTGGCAGAACCTCTACGCGAAGGGTTTTGGTAAAGAAACTCGACCTATATATAAAGTGGGGCAACACGTGAGAATCACCAGAACCAAATATCATTTTGAAAAGGGATATGAGAGTAACTTTAGTCAAGAGGTGTTTAAAATTATTAAAGTTATAAAGAGACGTCCGCCTGTGTACAGAATAGTGGATTTAAGCGGTGAAGATATAGAAGGGACTTTTTATGAGGAAGAACTGCAGCTGTTACGATAGACGAAGATACAGTATTTAAAATTGACGAGATTTTGGAAGAAAAAGGAAGAGGAAAAAACAAAAAATATTTAGTGAAGTGGCGAGGTTATAGTGACAAATTCAATTCTTGGATTTCTGCGGCAGAACTCAAAAACATATAAAAATGGAAGAAGAATTCTACATTACCTGTTAAGCAATAGTTCGCTCGATTATTTTCCCAACAATACAACTTCACACTTTGTTACACAGTTGCCAAAGCGTATAAGATTAAGTGGTAATTGGGCCGTCGGGATAGCCGAAATACAATATCCTTGTGCGTTTGCGTCAATCAGTGAAACTGACAATTTAATTTACTACAGAGAAGCGCCAATAAAAGATTTGCCGTTAAATAAAGTTTTAGAAAGTGCAGCGACATTTTTCCGTAATAATCTCGGAACCTCTATGTATAAAAACGGCGGTTGGTACGT